AATGTCAGAGTCAGGTAGTCCAACACGGGACATCTGGCTCGGATAGCCCTTAAAAATATACAGCACTCCTCTGCTGTGTATGAAGCTAGGCTTCTGATTCCAGTCCTCTGAAACATGCGCCTTTTAAGTACAACAGGTAGTGAATATACCTGTCCTTCATTATTACAAACTGCTAGACTTAATTTGTAATTTATCACTATCTTTGTGTTGGTTTAAACAAACATAATGTGCTATGCATCAGCAGAAGTCCATAACTCTTTTCTTCCTCTTCTCCCACCCTGTGCTTCCTCCCGTATTTTGCATTCATCCCACCATAGATCTGCTGTGATGACTTTTCTCTATCTCTGTTTTGTTAGCTGGACACAAGGCAGTCTGGGGTTGTAGCTGGTCTGGGTGCACAGTAGTTAAAGCAGATGTTTTGAGTGGCAGCTGCTTCCTACCTTACACAAACGATAGGCCAACGTAGGGCTGCTAGAAAGCCAGTGGAATGGTTTTGGTGGTGGTAGGTTGGTTTTATCTGCTCTTGTTGAGGCCAACTGCAACCAGCCAGGCAGGGAAAGGGGAAAAAAATTGTAGAACTGCATTGCAATGAAAACTGGAAAGTTTAGTTAAGTTGGAACATGGGTGGGCATCAGTGCAGATTGCTTCCAGTGCATGCAGCCCATGTTTTCCTATGCTTTGATGTTAGCTGGTCAACTGGGCTGCTTTTCCTTTGCCTTGAATAGTTATTTCCAAACTGTTGTTACAGTCATGGTAAGTGGTCATGGAAGCTGAAATAAGCTATTTTTTCAATTAAAAGTTCATGAAGAAAAATAGAGGTGTCTTGGTGCAAGAGTTTTGGGAGCAATTAATGTAAATAAAGGAACTTTTTCTGTCAAAAATGTCAGGGTGATTGTATTGGGTTTGTGTGGCAAGGGTTTGGTAGTGGAGGGGCTACAGGGGTGGCTTCTGTGAGAAGCTGCTAAAAGCTTCCCCCATGTCCGACAGAGCCAATGCCAGCCGGCTCCAAAAGGACCTGCAGCTGGCCAAGGCTGAGCCCATCAGTGATGGTGGTAGCACCTCTGGGATAGCAGAGTTAAGAAGGAAGGAGCAGTAGCTTTTGCAACCAGAGGAAGAAGATGTGAGAAACTCTGTAGGCACCCAGGTCAATGAAGAAGGAGGAGCAGGAGGTGCTCCAGGCACCAGAGCAGAGATTTCCCTGCAGCCCATGGAGAAGACCATGGTGAGGCAGGCTGTTCCCCTGCAGCCCATGGAGGTTAACGCTGGAGCAGATACCCCCTGCAGCCTGTGGAGGACCCCATGCTGGAGCAGGTGGAGCCACCTCAAGGAGGCTGTGACCCTGTGGGAAGCCCATGCTGGAGGAAGCTTCTGGCAGGGTCTGTGGCCCTGTGGACAGAGGAGCCCAGGCGGAGCAGGTTTGCTGACAGGACTTGTGACCCTGTGGGGGACCCACACTGGAGCAGTCTGTTACTGAAGGTCTGCACCCGATGGAAGGGATCCATGCTGGAGCAGTTCGTGAAGAGCTGCAGCCTGTGGGAAAGACAGAGTGGAGAAGTTCATGTAGGAGTCTCCCCTAAGAGGGACCTCACACTGGAGCAGGGGAAGAGTATGAGGAGTCCTCCCCCTGAGGAGGAAGGAGCAGCAGAGACAACGTGTGATGAACTGACCACAACCCCCATTCCCTGTCCCTCTGTGCCGCTGAGGTGGAGGAGAGAGAAAAATGGGGAGTGAAGTTGAGCCTGGGAAGAAGGGAGGGGTGGTGGGGGGTGGTATTTTAATATTGGGTTTTATTTCTTATTACTCTGTTTTCTTGGTAATAAATTGGATTATTTTTTTCTAAGTTGTTTCTGTTTTGCCTATGATGGTAATTAGTGAATGATCTCTCCCTGTCCTTATCTAGACCCACGAGCTTTTTGTTATGTTTTCTCTCCCCTGTCCAGTTGAGTGGTGGGTACTTGGCCTCCAGTGATCTAAAGATAAAACTGAAATGTATGTGTCATTGTCTAGGAGTTTTTATTTTTTAATGTTGATTATTTCTTCCTTTAGCTTTTCAAGCTTTGTTTCATGTGAAGTCTTACTAGTGGATTCCTTGTTGCTGCAGTCAGTTTCTCTTTCCTTTTGGCTTTTTTGTATTCATTGTAGGTATTACATCTGCTGGTACTTGACATAGTAATTTCTGAGGCTACTTCAGTAAAGTTTGCTTGCAGTTTCAGTTAAGTTTTGTTTGCAGTACTAGCTCTTCAAGAGTTCCAGGGTGCAGACTGTTCTGTCCTTTGCCTTTGTTACACTTAGATTAATTGAGTGAGTTTTCTTCTAGGTTATTTTGTTCTGTTTTCCACTCTTACACTTTCTTCTTCTTAAATGTCCAAATGGTATAACAATGGAACTCATAGCCCTGATCTTTAGTTCAGACATTAATAGTTACAACGTTTAAATCTTGTCTTGTCTTTTCTTTCTAGAGAGAGATTTCAGTGGAACAGTAGATTGAATGAATGCTTGTCTTCATGTTTGGGTGATGGATAAATTCCAAGAGCAGATAATCAACTCTTTCCTGGTCTGAGTAATTTAAACATAAAGACGTATTTATGTAGGAAACTGAAAGTAGCATAGCAAAAGGTATGTAACTGAATCATGAAGTGTATTTGCTCCTTGGTTTCTATGTGTATGGTGTTACCTACCTAACATAAAATGGAAATGACAGAGTCCCTGTAAATACTTAATGGACATAATAATAATCCAGTATTTGATTTGAAATCCCTGCCATACAAAATTATTGCAAGAATGTCAGATGGGAAGTTCATGGTATTTCTGCATTTGCTTTAAATTTTGTTCATTGCACTTAATGGAGAGGCATGCATGTTATGTTTTCTTTATCATTTAGATACTGTGTGAAAGAATGTTAATGAGAGAATTAGTAGACACTGTATTTTATAAAACAGTCAATGAATATCTAGAATAGAAATTAAGTAATCTTTGTAATGATGTAACAAATTTTAATGTCTGTGGTGTTTTGTATAATAAATGCTAGTCTTTGTGATGCTTGGTAGTATGAGCTACCTGACCTTCTGTCAGTTGAAATCAGGATATAGTTTGACCAGAACATTAAGCCAGCTCAAGTAAAAGCAGCTTCTCAAAGAAGCACTCTTTCTCCAGTGACCCAAATGTACAGGTCTGCATGGTGAAATGGTTGGGGAAGTGTCGTGGTTTAACCTGGCTGGCAGCTAAAACAACCACACAGCCATTTGGTCACTCCCTTTCTTCCCCCGCAGTGGGACTGGGGAGAGAATTGGGGGCGGGAAGTAAAACTTGTGGGTTGAGATAAAGACAGTTTAATATGACAGAAAATTAAGATAATAATAATGATTAAAGATTATACCGAAGAAGTGATGCACAGCACAATTGCTCACCACCCACAGACCACCAATGCCCAGATAGTTCCCAAGCCATGATCTAAACTCCCAGCCAGCTTCCCCCAAGTTATGTACTGAGCATGACATCATATGGTATGGAATATCCCTTTGGCCAGTTTGAGTCCAGCTGTCCTGGCTGTGTCCCCTCCCAGCTTCTTGTGCTCCTTGTGCGTGGGGCAGTATGAGATGCTGAAAAGTCCTTGGTTTAGTGTAGACGGTGCCTAGCAACAACCAAAATATCAGTGTGTTATCAACATTATTCTCATTCTATATCCAAAACATAGCACTATACCTGCTACTAGGAAGAAAATGAACTCTGTCCCAGCTGAAATGACGACAGGAACTTAATCTCCTTTAAAAAGAAAAAAGGTTTTTTGCCCGCATTAATCTTCAGTAGAATCAGTGCCTTGAGACAGTTTATTACTCTGCTGCATAAAGAGCTGCCTGAACTCAGGGGGTTGAGACAAAAACAGAAGAGGCAGAGGGAGAAAAAACTGCTCCTCTCTATTGCAGCACTAGTTCTTATGACTAAGGTTTTAATTCAACAGTCTTTATTTCAATGAGTTCTCTGTAGATTCTTCAAGTTATTAATCTTAAAACATGTAAAGAGAAAATGTGGAGCAAGACCCACGGAGAAGCTCTTGGAGGGCCCAAGGGCTTTAACAAGGGGCCCCCATGGGGCCCTGAGGCTGTGTATTGTGCAGCTGGAACAGCTGTGCTGATCCACCCAGCTTTCTCACGGACCATGTCATCGCCCCTGCAGGACACAGGAGATCACGTTAGGAACTGTTAGGCTGACCTGCCTGCCTTTTCTCCTGGATTGTCCCATCTGTCCTGTGGGGCAAGGAAGCGATCACTCGTTAAATGTGTCTGTGACTAGAAGTATTCTAGTGTCCAACCCCCCCATGTGTTGTCTCCATACGGTCAATTTGGTCTGAAACCATGACACGTTATCAGATTTGGACGAGCAATGTCTGTAATGCTGGGCATTCTTTCCTTTCCTGCAACCACCCCATTTTTTTAAAAATATTATTTTTATTTATTTATTTTTATAAATAACCTCAGCCTACTCTTAGGCCATGTGTCATGCAGTGATCTTTGTGTAACAGTGGATATTAATTACATTTAATGCCTCTGAATTTTTCTCAAAATGGTGAGATGCATTTAAGTTGGTTGCCATCTTTCCTAGAAGGGAGATCTTGATTAAATTCTAGTAAACAAAGTTGTCTGAGTAGGATAACTCAACTCCACTACTAACCAAAAACAATTCTAGCAAATATCCCAAGGTCTAATGTACCAAGGAAAACAGAATCAAGGTTGATTTCATTGTTAATCAGTGAACAAGTTCAGTTCGATTAGAAAAATGAAGTTGTGTTTCTTTTGTTCTAATACAACTTCTTCATAGTAAGCTTAGGCTTAAATTCACTGAGATTTCAGTTCTGAAAACGTATTTGTTTATTGCAACATTTGCTATGATCTTAGTATTTCTTTTACCAAATAAATTGCTCTATCTATGCTGTCATCTGTAGATATGTTTTCATCTAGAAGACTGAAACTACAATCTTTCATTACTTTAATTTTTCAGTACTCATGGGTAAGAGAAAGGAAGAAAGTATTTCAAAGCCCGGATCCCATAAAAGGCAGAGACAAGAATACACAGATGAACATAGTGATGAGTCTAATGAAGAAGAAAATTCACAGTTATCAGCTGATAGTAATTTCTCTTCACTGTCGGTAAGTTGTTTAAAAAGTTGTGGGGGGAGAGATAAAAGAAAAAGTTGACATAAAAAAGTTCTGTGCTTTTGACTGACGTTGAAATAAACGTCTTGCATGTAGGCTTCAGTGGAACCAATATAAAAGAAGCTAGAGGTAATGTCTGTGATGAAGACTTCTGCATTCTTACCTTGAGTCATGTAGTTGTAACAGTTGATCATAAAATAACAGTTTTCTGGTTTTATAGAATGAATACTACTGAAGTTGTCAAATAGCCAAATAAAGGAAACGGATTTTGTTTAATAGAAGTATGATATATTTGGTTTATGGTTGCAATAAAAGTAGAGAAAATATTTAGAAAACAAATTGTTTACTAGAATAATTATCAAATACTTGTTTGTTTTGCATAGTTGATACTTTCAAATGACTGAAAAGAGTTAGTGTTTAAAATACTTATTTAGATGGAAAACAGGAATACCATTCTTTTCTGTAATAGTTAAATTCTAATTTGATGAAGAATTTTTAAAAAATAATTTCTGAGCTTGCAGATACTGTCTTGTGTATTGTAAGACACCGTGGCTGATTTTTTTTTCGTACACAGAAGCGTTATTCGTCGCTTCATTTTCTTGAACAGCAGCTGTTCTGTGTCATTGGTTGTTTATTTTTCCTGAGGACTTTGCTTTCTTAGAAAACATTGCTTTTCTGAAGCACTGGTGATTTCCTGTCAAAACAATACGTCACCATTTGAACAGTGGGCTGTTCCATTTCTAGTTTCATTTTCTCCTTCCTGATGTAATTTAATTTCCCTCCTTCTAAGCTGTGCTAAGGATTCTCACAAATAGTATTATTTAAGTAATTAAAAACTCTTTCTATGATGCTCTTTACTGCTCTGAGAACTATATAGAATTTATGATCTTAGTCTTTTACACTGTATTAATTATAAGTTATGGGGAGAACTGAAAGTTGCTATGGGTGAGCGATCAGCTTCAGTAACTGTTTTCCTCTTATTTTATTATGTAACTGCTCTGTAGCAAGCAGCTTTTCATAGTGTCATGAAACCCTTCCGATTTCCTTGTAGGCTGTAGCCATTGATGCTTTATATCATACTGTCATTTGAATTCTCATTATATTTAAGATAGATAAACTGCATCTAATTAAAATGCATACGTAACACCAGTTTTAATTGTTAATCCTTTAGACTGTAGGGGAAGTTGGGATAATTGAAAGTATCCAGTTGAAGAACTTCATGTGCCATTCGATGTTGGGGCCTTTTCAGTTTGGATCAAATCTCAATTTTGTTGTTGGAAACAATGGAAGTAAGTAGTAATTGCATCATCTCTTTGTTAAAGAACATTTCTGTTAATAATTTAGAAGATGTAATTTTTATTTGAAAAAGAATTGCTAGCCATCTTTTAGGAATCGAGATGGATTCACTTTTGGATTTGGGAACCACACAGGTCTATCCCAGTAGTTCAAGGCCGGTGAAAAAGTTAGGTTTTAAATTTGGAGATTTGCAAAAGATAATGTGAATATACATCTTTTCGTAGCTAAATCATATATAAATTATATTTAAACTAAATTTACTCATATGTTCATTATTAAATGCACAGTAATTGTCCAAGTATGTTTCATGTAGAAACTGTTATAGGAGAAGGGAGTGATACTTATTTATGCAAGTTCACTTTTGGAAAGAGAATTTCAAAAGTTAAACATGAATTTTGAAAGAGAGCTTAAAAACTTTCAAATAGTTATATACATGGTAATGTGGGTTTGATTTCTTTTGTTGTATACGTGTTTTCTGTACGCTTGTAAAGAAGGGGAAGTTCTTTCTTCCTGAGATAAGACATCTTGTTGAATGCAAATTGCTAAATAGAAGTAACAGAAGTTTGGCTCAGCATGTTTTGGTTTTGGTTTTTTTTTTAGGGAGAACCTTGGAAATGGGAGATGTTTTTGTAGAATTATCATTATTTTTATGTTTGCTCAGTAAAGACAGAATTTGGACTTAAGTTCATGAGTACATAAGCAGTCAAACAAAAATCTGTAATAGGGATGAACTGGGTAAAGAGTTACAAGAACTTCTTTTTAAAAATAGTTCAATGTTTCTATTACAGGTGGAAAAAGTTCTGTATTAACTGCTCTTATTGTTGGACTTGGTGGAAAAGCCACTGCAACTAATAGAGGTTCCTCATTAAAAATGTTTGTACGAGATGGAGAGACGTAAGTAAAATTTTTTTAGTTTCAAGGTTCAACGTGTTTAGTGATTGATTTTCAGGTTAGCTGATCAATTTTCTGTTCATCTTTGTTTTCTCTGTTCTTTTATTGGATCTACCAGATTTGAATAGAAAGCATAACACTGAAGAGATCATATTTAAAGAAAAAGTCCTCCAAACTACAAACAAAAACCACATTAGAAATTTTACCATTTATTTACTAATAGTATACTATTATCTCTGAACTAGCTAACATAGTGATATGTCCTGCATATTGCCCAGTTCTTGTGTATTACTTCCACGATGGACTTGAATATCCTATAGGAGGATTGAGTTCATTAGAAAAAAATAGGAAACTAGTTACCATTGTGAGGTTAATTCTTCTTCTGTGTTCCTGGTGACACCAATGAGTATATAATATAAAGACCTTGACATACAGGTGGATTATTAAACATGCAGGAAGTGGATTGATGTCTGCTGCAAGAGTGGGCGTAACATGTTTAGGGGAATCAATAAAAAGATAGTAGAGGGTTTAAAAGTTTACATTTATATAAAGCTGCAACTCAGACCCCCAGGCTTTTCCTTTCAGAGGTGCTTGGAGTAAAATCGTTGGGAGTACCTGCTTTATGTATAATAACTTAATGTTTCAGCATTCACTTGAGAAACAGAAAATACGAATTCTGAACTGAAACCACATCTCATCTTTTCTAGAAGAACGCCTTAAGCATTCTGTTATATTTTGGTTAGGGATGGCTGTAGAAGCTAAGCAACTGTTTGCTCCAGAAGCCAGTTTGGGAACAGGAGAACAACCAAAAAGCAACTTGATTCTGCAACCTAAAGATGGGGGCACTCAGATGGAAGGGAAGGTGGGGGAAATCTGCTGTCACAACTCTTTGCTTTTGGCATGTGATTTATCTGAAGCAAAGAAGGTGTAAACAGGTCAGTGTACGGCAGCCTTCCTGGCCATGTGTCTCCAATGCTGTTTTGGCTCGCACAGCATAAATATACCTTGTTCCGATTGGTACTATGACTGACTTCCAGTTGTGACCTGTACGAGACATGACAATTTTGGTGGGAAACCAGAATGTTCTGATATATTTTTTTCTGTAGATTTGGAACTTATTTTAGTTGTCTTTTTATTATTTTTATGTTTTAGTTCTGCAGATATTTCCATAACATTGCGAAACCAAGGTAGAGATGCATTTAAACCAGAAGTGTATGGTGGCTCTATTATTGTGAATCAGCACATTAACCTGGATGGAAGCAGAAGTTACAAACTGAAAAGCAAATCTGGTTGGTGGTAGTTTGTTTTGTTCTCAGTCATAGAAGCTCTTCAGATGTTTTCAATGCTTTAGTGCCTTGATGTTAGTAAAGGATGATGTTTCTCATTTCATTCATCTCTCAAGGATGATCATGTCCATTTTTTTGCATTTAGCTTAGAATATTGTAGCATGTCAAAAGCAGTTGTGTCGGGTTCTGCGTGATGTGAGGTCATACAGTATTTGTCTATGAAAATCTGCTGGTATGATGAGGCTGAACATAGTTTTTAGTATTTTTGAGTTTTTGTTGAATTTGCCTAAATTCTGTCACAAAGGGTTTATAAGGCAAAGAGGACTGTAATTAGATGTCTTTCTGTACAAATGTAAATATATTGGAACCAATGTTTCTCATTTCAGACTAAACGTTTGTTACAAAAGTACTATCTAATTTTTTTACATTTACTAAGAACCACTAGATTGAACAAAAGGCTAGGCCATTGTATGTCTCTTTACTTTGGACCTATTGATATTTTTCCTTTCTTTTTTTACCATTAGGGACCTTAATTTCTTCAAAGAAAGAGGAACTCATAGGAATACTGGATCACTTTAATATACAGGTAATGGTTATAGTGTTTAAATTCTGTCCAGTTTAAGACATCAGCGTGTGATGTTATAATTCTTCAAATAAAAAGCAGTGTTCCATTTTGTTAAATGAAAGAGGTTCACCTCTTCTATGTTCTTTCAAGATCAAATGCAATGGCAAAAGAAAATTGAAATTTACACCTCATACAATGCAGAATAAGATTCTGTCCCAGACAGATGAGTTTTTGCTATCATCTGTGAGCCGTAGGTCATGTATCCTGTTAATGAAAGTCTTGGCATATGTAGGTTTCTTTCATACCTGGAGCTTTTTTTTTTTCTCCTGCTCATTATTTCAGTTTTTGCTGTTGCAGAAATTCCAGTGTGGTTTTGCTGCTTAAGTGATTAAGGAAAGATCAGGTAGTACACATGAAGTTTAAAAAATTCAACATATTCAGCCTTTCAAATAACTTAAAGTTCTATTAGTATGTATTGATTTTATTATGTGGAAACTTCCATAATAATATATGGGGCGATTCATTGCATTTAATGCAATACTTTGATCAATAAAATAATGAGAAATTAAGCAGTATTGGCTAAAACTTCTAATGCTAATCTTGTTAAATAAGTGGAAAAAAAAAGGCACTGTCTTTCTAGAAGTCAGTTATCCGCCTGGAAACAGTTCCTTAGTTGTCCTGGTTCTAATTTGTACTTGATGGAGTTGGATTTTTTAAATTTTTTGTTTGATTGTTGTTGGTTTTTTGTTTTGTTAAAAAAAAAAAAGAGGATGAGAGGAGTAGAAGTCTTAATTCTGATTCTGCTTCTCTCAGCTTATTACTGAATTGCTGGGCATAGGACAGAGAGATGGCTGGCTTACTTTGCTGAATGTGGCCAGCAGGTCAAGGGAGGTGATTCTGCCCCTCTGCTCCACTCTCGTGAGACCCCACCTGCAGTACTGCATCCAGCTCTGGGGGCCCCAGTACAAGAAGGACATGGAGCTGTTGGAGACAGTCCATAGGTGGGCCACGAGGATGATCAGAGGGCTGGAGCACCTCTCCTATGAGGACAGGCTGAGAGAGTTGGGGTTGTTCAGCCTGGAGAAGAGAAGGCTCCGGGGAGACCTTATAGCAGCCTTTCAGTACCTGAAGGGGCCTACAGGAAATCTGGAGAAGGGCTGTTTACAAGAACATGGAGTGACAGGACAAGGGGGAATGGGTTCAATCTGAAGGAGGGTCGATTTAGATTAGATGTTAGAAAGAAATTCCTTACTGTGAGAGTGGTGATGCACTGGAACAGGTTGCCCACAGAGGTGGTAGATGCCCCATCCCTGGAAACATTCAAGGTCTGGTTGGACTTGGCTCTGAGCAACCTGATGTAGTTGAAGATGTCCCTGCCCATGGCAGGGGTGTTGGACTAGATGACCTTTAAAGGTCCCTTCCAACCCGAACTATTCTATGATTCTATGCAGTTACTTGAGAACTTTTTTTACTTCAAAGAAAGTGAAAGCAATTTATTTTTACAGGTAGATAATCCTGTGTCTATTTTAACCCAAGAGATGAGTAAGCACTTTTTACAGTCTAAAAATGAAGGTGACAAGTACAAGGTAAGAAAAATCATTTAACATTTTGATTAAACATTCAAATACTGATTTCAGATTTTTAGAGGTGGCATTTGGAGGGGGAAAAGAAATCAGAATTCTTAATTTTAATGACTTCTTGTGGGTTAACTCAGGTAATCAACAAAGCACCACACAGTCACTCGCTCACTTCCCTGCTGCTCCCCATTTGGGATGGAAGAAGAGGAAGGGAAGAGTAAAAGCAGGAAAATTTGCGGGTTGAGTTAAAAATTGGTTAAGAAATGAAGGAAAAGCTGGAAGAAGAGAAAGGAAGCAAAACAGAACAAAAGATGCAAAGGCAATAACTCACCACCTCCCATGGGTAGACCGATGCCTAGCCAGTTCCCAAGCTAAAGATGGCTAACCCCCCTAAACCCTCTCCTCCCCCTTTTTATTGCTGAGCATGACTGTGCTGATTTTGTCTGGGATAAAGTTAATTTTCTTCATAGCAGCTAGTGTGGGGCTATGTTTTGGATTTGTGCTGAAAACAGTGTGGATAACACAGGGATGTTTTCATTACTGCTGAGCAGTGCTTACACAGAGCCAAGGCCTTTTCTTCTCCTCACACCACCCCACCAGCGAGTAGCTGGGGGTGCACAAGGAGTTGGGAGGGGACACAGCCGGGACAGCTGACCCCAACTGACCAAAGGGATATTCCATACCATATGATGTCATGCTCAGCATATAGAGCTGCGGGAAGAAGAAGGAAGGAGGGGACATTATCCCAACCCACGAATTTTCTCACTTTTACTTTTTCGATTCTCTCCCCCATCCCTCCATGGGGGAGTGAGTGAGCGGCTGTGTGGTGCTTAGTTGCTGGCTGGGGTTAAACCATAACTATGATGTTTTATGGGACAGAATGTCTCTTTGGTTAGTTGGGGTCATCTGCCTGGTTGTATCCCCTCCCAACCTCTTGCACACCCCACCAGTTTATTCACTGGGAGGGCAGAGTGAGAAACAAAGGAGGCTTTGATGCTGTACAAACACTGTTCAGCAACAGCTAAAACATTAGTGTGTTATCAGCGTTGTTTTGGTCACACATCTAAAATACAGCACCGTAACAGATGCTGTGAAGAAACTTAACTTCATCCCAGCCAGACCCAGTAGACTACCTGATTGTAGCAGTAATCCACTTGCAAAAACAGTTTTTTTGACGTTTCTTTTCTCTAGACATTGATAAATTGAAAAATAAAACTAGAACACTGCTGAGTTAGTTCATTTTTTCAGAAATACCCCGCCAGTTATTTTACTTTGGGTATCATTCAGCAAGTGTAGAGGTTGGGATTAGTGGTCTTTCTATGATAATTACTTCACTTCTATGATAAGTAGTTCACTTGGATAAGCTGCCGAATCTGACATGAGCATCTTTTTATTCCTTCTTAGTTTTTTATGAAGGCAACTCAGCTGGAACAAATGAAAGAAGATTATTCATCCATTATGAAAACTAAAGAAAATACATGTGTTCAGATAGAACAAGGAGTAGAGGTTTGTAGAAGTTAAAGTAATTATTAGTACAGGTCTGAGCACTGAAATAACTGTAGGAGTTAAACTACATAGTTTTGATTTGATTAGATCTCAATGACATTAAATTTTAAAAAAAATAAATAAATCTTTCCAATATTTCATGTTATATCACAGCTTTTTGCACTAAAGATTGAACCTCTCTTTTTCTCTTTTAATTTTTTTCAAGCGTCTTCAAGAACTTAAGGATCTTTATTGTGAAAAAAAAGAACGTTACAAAAGCATTGGGTTTGTGAATGACATGCGAAATCATCTCGAAGATTTGAAACATAAAATGGCGTGGGCAGTGGTAAATGTCGTGTTAAAATATGTTTCCTCATATGAAACGTACTTTAAATTATTCTCAATCTGCTGCAGACTTTCTGATATATGCTAGTATATGCTTATATTTAGGTGGGTGAAATGGAAAAAGAAATACAGCCAATCAAAGAAGGCATCAGAGCTGAAGAAGGAAATACAGAGAAGTTTGTTCAGAAGATAGAAGAGTGCCAGGTACATATATGATTTAAACCATATGTCACTATAGTTTTGGCTCCTTGACTCATGAATAAAAATAATATTTAAACTATGATTGTCCTTTAGGTTGTAAGCTATTGAAACTGGCCATCTCAGCTTTTCACAAGCAGTGAAGAACATTCCTATTTGTACACCTTTTTAGCCATGTAAAACTTAGCAGTAACAATTGCATTCCACATTTAATTGGACATTTTATTTTCTGTTGTTTAGTAGGGGGATGTGTGTGTATGGTTTTCATGCTGATACTTTTGTTTCAGGTAAGGGTTATATTATTTGACGGGGAATTTGAGATGACTAGCATATTGCTAGCATATACCAGCGAACAGAAATTTAAACTGTTTTATTGTTGAGATTACTTACTTGATGCCTATTTCTCCAAACTTTTTGAATTGGCATTCGTTTTTCATTGACCTTTTTTATTTTTTAGGTTAAAAAAAAAAATAGTGGTATGTATTTGTTTTACAACTGAGATGTTTTTACTTATGGCCGAACATGTCTCTGTAGTGTTGAAGGAAAATTGTCCAGATACTGGTTTCACTTCTGTCCATATCATGGCACTTGGCCTTTTTTGTAGTAAGAGTCCTGTATTTGAGTAAACCTTGACTTAGAAAAGAAGACTGCTGCTAACTTCACAGATCTGGTAGTCCGTTGGTTTCCTGAGTACGTTCGTGTATTCATTTTTCTCTTAGCATACCCATAGTGGCAATGACTTTGGTTTTTTTAACAAAAAAACAAAAAAAGAGAAATGTCAGATGGGTTATTTTGAGAGATATTTCTTTTGTAGCATTAAGAGCTTTTGAAGAAAATTTTGCTTCATTCTTACGTGCGTATTATTCTGGTTTTGCACCAAAGGTAAAAGTGAATGAAGCAGAAGAAAAGTACAAAGCAATACAAGACAGGTTAATAACAATAAGTGAAGAAGCACAAGCCCTGCATCCTCAGTGTATTTCTTTGAAGGCTGATGTCCAGGCAAGAAGAAAAGCAGTCAATGAAGCTGAGGTAGGCAAAAAGAACTTTCGAAGTTCATAACCAATTTCAAGCTTTAATCTTGTCTGTGCTCTACCCATGTGTACTTCTCCATCTGTGTCTAGGCTTCCTGAATACATAATGCAGTTCAAAAAAGGTGCAATTTCCTGCCTGACTTACAAGTCGTTTCTGTTTGGGGGCCGTAGGGTTTATATCTTTACACAGGTGTTAAGCTTAGGTCAAAATAAATATGATGCAAGTTAACTGTGTTATTCCTTTTTCACATTCTTGAAATTCAAGTTACGTTTGTCTGTTGTGATGCAGTTCAGTGTTTATTTACTCAAAACTGTAGTTCTTTTTGAAATTATTTCTTGCTTCTGTTTGTTGAACTGCTGTATCCTGTTTCCTTTATAGGTACTTTATAATCGTTTCAAAACTGAGTTAAAACGTCTGGGAAAAGACGATGAACAGCTACGTAAACGAATTGAAGAACTGAAAAGCAGGTAAATACAGATATAGTGATTATGGTGTATGCTTATTAAGGTATAGGTGTGCAGGGAGTGACCTCTTCTGATTAATGGGAAAATCTGCCGTAACAGAAAATATTTATTTAAACTTTAGCAGGATTTGGTTAAGTATTTAAATATTTCTGACCCTGCTTCTTTATCTATGAAGATTTTTACTAGAAGGTGGTGTGATAATTGGGCAGAAACAAGCTTTTCTTTTTTTGTTGGTGGTGATATACCTTTTCTAGCTTCCATGGTGGTGCAAAACAAATACACCTGAAACTAAATGTAATAGGAGCATAACTGGGGATTTATGTGTAATTACAAATAAAAAAATAAATTGATATTTATGCTTCATAGACCTTGTAAATGTACAGAATCTTAAATATAATTTTCTGATGCATAAATGTTGTGTATGATACAGGTAATAAGACAATGTTTGTGTCACTTATAAATCATCAGAGTGGTTTTAAAATATTGAATTATGGTCTTTTCTAGTGCTAATCAGATTTCAGAGCCTGAAAAATTGGAAAGACAAAGAAAAATCGCACACTTAAGGGAACAGTTAAAGGCATTCCATGATGAAGAAATAATGATTGGTCAACAGGTGGATCAGTTTCAGCAGGCTATATATAAGTGTAAGGAAGAACATGCTAGACTTAGGTAAGCTACACTTTTTGAATGTAACTGTTTTCCTTTGTTATAAGAAGCCCCTTCTTGTGAACCTAGTTTATATTAGGACTTGCTAAACTTTTGCCTTTGGCACAACATGATTTAATTTAGAAACTTGAAAAAGTAAGAAAACTGGTTTGGCATTACAGGTGAGAGGTATTACTAATTTAAAGCCTGATATAAATCCATACTGTCAGTTTAATGCCCTTCTTTATTCCCCCCACCATCTGTCCTGTATTTTCTTATCATCCTATGGGCAGACTATGATTTAAATCTTTTCATGTTGTTTTATACAGTAGTACATCCTGATATGATGTCACAAGATACATAACACAAGATAAGGAAATAGATACACTTAGGGGTAATTATTGTATCTACACCTAAAGGCAAATTTATAGAGACTTTGAAGCAAGTGGTTCAAATGCCAATTTAGTCCATACCCGAGCTAGAAGAACAAAGCGCTTGTTGGCTTTGATTTTGAAGCCTGAACTTGAACAATGATTACCAGAGGGAATTGTGGCAGTGTTGTCATTTATTGTCTTAAGAGATTTGAGAATTGTTGCTTATTGCACTTGATGTATTAGTTTAAACGTCTTTTATCAATTATTGGAACCAATAGGTATTTTGTGTTCTGTTGAAGACCTCTGTAGAAGACAGTGAAATTGAAGCATATAATGAGAAATAAACTTATTATAAATTGTTACAAAAAAGTCTTGTAAAACTGTTGCAAAGTAGTAATTTCCTTTCTTGCTTTTTTGTCTCATGTTTCTTGAAACTATAAAAATACTGTTGCAAATGTGTAGCTAGTTGTACTTTGAAGTATTGAGGTCCTGATACACTGTCTTATTAGTACTTGAAAAATGAGACTTTATAATTATTTTAATCAAATTAAGGCTTCATAAGCTGTTGCTACTGAAGAAAATTCTGTTCTCTTAGGAGAGAAGACACTGATGCAAAACAAGCACTGGATGCCAAGCAGAAACAGCTGAGAGAGCTGAAAGATAGTAAAACAAATACCTTAAAAAGATTTGGACCACATTTTCCAACATTTCTTGAGGCAGTTGAAACAGCCTATAGGCAAGGGCGCTTTAAACACAAACCTGTCGGACCTTTAGGTAAGAATGACTAATGAAAAAGACATATTTTTGCACGGGATTTAATGTATGGCTGCTAATGTAAACAGTGATCTTTTAGACAAACTATTTGTTCTTTAAGGAGCTTCAAATATATCTTTCTTCTGTACTTCCGGGACTAAAGGTTTTATCCTGGTAGGTTATCTTCTGCTTTTGTCCTTTTTATCGTACAAACTAGCTAACATCTACTGTTTTTCTTCATTTTCCAGCTGTTTTTGATAAGGTACTTTAAGTGGTTACAATGGTAAACTTTCAATGCACCCCTGTGGCTCCCCACACCCTCTAAGCATCAGACTGCTGTGCTTTGGCTGCTTGTTTCTTGGTGGATAGCGCTGTCCAGCTCTTGAACAGATTTTGTTCAATATGTCCAGTGGCTGACTTGTGGGCTTGTCAAACATGAGATGTTTTGCGTGGAGCAACTCAGAACCAATTGAGATTTTCTTGGAAAGTTTGGTCTCATTAGTTTTTTGACCAGGTCTGACAATGACTGCTATTTGCAGTTAGTGAATGGGAGCAATGGCTTCAGCATATTCTGGATGTAAGCATGAAGACCAAGTACTTAAGTACTTGGCATTTACTGCATGCTAAGACTGTGCAAACACGTGTACTACTGAAGACAAGTGATATAATGGAAATCTCACATTTAACTTGCAGCGTAGTTGTTCCTCTGCCTTTGGCCTTAAAGCATTAAATTGCTGATAAGTAATCTTTGCCTTGATATACTTCTGCTGAGCTGCCATAAAATTGGTACCTTCATGGAAGTTAGTAGTAAACTGTCAAAAATCTTGGAAGAAAATGCAGGCCTCCAAATATGTATAGGTGTGTCTATATGTCTGTGTTCTCAGGGTAGCTTGTCAGTTGTGGAGTTTTTTCTTTTTTAGTTAACTTAATTATTTTTTTCTTCTTGTAAGAAAGGTTTATTTTAGACTCTTAAAAACCCCCATAACACAATAAAATAAAAAAACTTGACTGGTAAAAATGCGCTACTGGATGTTCTGTTATGGAACACAACTCCTAAAGCCTTGTCTCTTATGCTTATTTAGGTGCTTTCATTCATCCGAAAGATGCTGAACTGACCTTGGCTATTGAATCTTGCTTAAAGAGCCTAGTTCAGGCATTTTGCTGTGATAATCATAGTGATGAAAGAACTCTTCAGTTACTGATGTCCAAATATTATCCACATGGATTTAGACCTCAAATAATTGTAAATAAATTTCAGAATACAGTTTATGATGTTAGACACAGGTAAGTTATGTTTTGATTTTTATTGCTTAGCCTTGATGACTGAAATTATTATTAGTTGAAAAGAATTATTTGTAATTTTTTTTTCCTAAAGATCTCATGTGAGCTTTATGAATGGTGGTTTTTCTTCTTTTCTTCAGAGGAGTTCATCATCCAGAATTCCCATCAGTTCTCACGGCACTGGAAATAGATAATGCAGTGGTTGCCAATTGTTTGATTGATGTGAGGGGTATAGAAACTGTCCTGCTGATTAAAGTAAGGCTTTATGCTCCCTTTTGGTCTTTAAAGAAAAAAATGTATGCTCTTTGTATGGAGCATACTTCACTGATAGTGTCTGTAATGGATAAAAGAGGTAAAGAAAGATTATTTTATTTTTCTTTTTGCCCCTCGGGGGAGAGGTTGGGACCCTGATGGCTCATTAGACCCCAACTGTATCAGTGATCAGTGTTATAGTGCAGTACACGCACACACTCTCGTACGTTTCCACTGGAGGGCTCCCGGTAAGGCCCTCTTGGCATTCAGGAAACTGTCAGTATCCCACTTCAAACACTGTTTTCTGTTATGGGAGAGACAGAGTAAACTGACAACTCATAGTGGATTTAGTTACTGGGATTTATTTAAGAATCAGCAAAGTTAGAGCTTTACTCTTATTTCCACACACTTGGTTGTTTCCCTGCCCCCCCAACACTACCTTCATAGGTCTCAACTTCTGTCCCTGGCAGGGAGGTCACTGCTGGTCCAGGAAGGTCAGACAGAAAATCTTATCAGTTCCCGCTGTGCAGCTGCTCGCAGATACCTGTCTGGGCTGTTACTGGCCAAGGTCCCTGGGCATTCCCTGGGATTTGTCTCTACACATCTCTCCCCATGTGTTTCCAGGATAGTCTGTGTTTGTTTCTGAGGTGTTCACCACCACCTTTCTGGGCCACTAAGTGGTCTAGTTTCCCATTCTAAATAGTCTATGTGCATGTGACCAGCCTCCTAATTCTGCTGTCTCTTGTTAAATTTCTATTAATTGATGGGTTCAGCATGTGTCAGTTTTGTGTAGTCGAGGTGTTACCAAAATTTGGAACCAGCCTCTACCAGTTGTACCAATCAACTGGTAGCTAGCTACCAGTTGTAGCTGTAGCAGGCTTGTGTGTGAGAGTTCAAAAATTCCCTTTCGGATATTCAGCCACTCACTCTTACATGAAATTATCAGCCGCCTGTTAGCATTCATAGCCTAATTTATTTTTCACCTACCACAACAACCATAGCCCCTTTGGACTCTGCAGTGTTAAAACATTTGAGATGAGAGAGTGCATAGAAACATGGTTATGTATAGAGTCTGGTAAAATAAAAAAAGCAATAATCAGTTATTAAGTAGGATTTGAATAAGGTGACCAGCAACTGGAGTTGAATTAAGATTGCATACTGTTTTGATAAGAATCTATTTTTTTGATCACCATAAAAACATGTTAATGAACTGTTTTCTGCCATGCTATGATTTCTGATCTTAATTGATTTTTGATTTTCTGTTACTACTGAAGATACCAGCTCCAGCAGATAAGATTACAGGTAAAATGTTCAAAGATAAAAATAAGATCTATACATTTTTATTTAAAGAAAGCAGGGTATTTATGAACAGCAGAACTAATGATATTTAATTTTTGTGGATTTTGTCCCAGTTAGTCCTCTGACATTCCTACTGGAAAAGAGGCAGTTTGTGCTCTGTCTAGTGCAGAGCTGACTGACTGTTTTGCAAGCGTGGCTGTTACTGAATGGGATATTTAACAGTTGAACTTTCTAGGCTTTTTCACAGCAGTAATGCCAGTTCTGTTATTCCTCCTCTGCCTTACCTAACCACTGATTCTCATAATGTTACTATCTTTGAGCCCTACCTGAACGATTTAAACTGAATCTGAAAGAAGTTGAACAGGTATTGTGTGGAAGAAATAATACTTCCTAATGGATAACGTGATTGCCTTGGACAGAAGCACTTGTGACCACTTAGTCTGGTGTTGGCAATATTTTTTTTAATCAGCACATTTCCCCAAACTTTAATTGAGTATTGTCTTCGGTACTTCACAGCTTTCTTTAGAAGATTGTTTCCTGTATGTGTATTCCACTTTTCATAGTTAAATATACCTGTGCTTAGTGGCCTTTTGGTTACTGATATTTTTTTTTCCCCCCTTGGCAAATTATAAGGGTCTAATTAGACTACGGAACTTACAATTCAGATGAATTTCTAATAGAATAAAAGAAATGGGCAGCTAAACTAAGTGGGTGGGTTTTGAGAACATAAATGTCTTATTCAACTAAGAACAGCATATTCTTGACATTATAGATTTTTTTCACGTTCTTTCATTACTGTGGTGCTTATTTTTCATTAGGAATTGAAATTATTTCTGGGTGAGAACTTCTAGACAAGTTTTAAATTGATATCTTTAGTTATGGTTGCTTTTCTATTGGTATGATAAGGCCATTGTATTTTTCAGAGTAGCCGTAGAGCTCGTGAAGTAATGCAGTCTAATCGTCCCCCAAAAAATTGTAGAGAAGCTTTCACTGCTGAAGGTGATCAAGTATTTGAAAGACGATATTACTCTTCTGATTACGTCAGACCCAAGTTCCTAAGCAAAGATGTTGAAGCAGATATAAGGTTAGCATCTGGTAACAGTGTGTTTGTAAAAAGTGTGCTTGTTGACATGAATAGTGGAATTGCATATTTGTCTGTGTATACACTACTCTCCAGTCTCTCAATTTTCTTTCTGAGATTTACCCTTCCTTTCTGAGAATTCTGGAAAACCTCTTTATTTCAATGCCTTTTTGTGATAGGTACAATCCTAAGTTGTACCTAAATATTTTTCAATTTGTGGCATGTAAATCTTGCCCAGCAAGTAGGGATTCGCTAGGCTGAATACTCCAGGAAATCTACCTACCTTGCTTTTTATTTTATGGTTTCTGAAAAAGAGTAGGGAGTCAAAACTGTTTCTTTAAACATCTAATACCTGAACAGTGGTAACATAGTTTACTGCAAAGGAAGCCTGATTTTTTTTTTCCAAACCAAAATTATGCTGACATGCATAGTTCTACTGGTTTCAAACTTTATGTCTGTGTTTCCTTAGGCTTTTGACTTCACTTGTGTTAGGTGTCTCTGAACTTGACTTCCCCCCCCATTTTATTTTTCAGTTGTGGTTTTTTGTCATGACTTTCAAAATGGTAGTTTAAAAAGCCAAACATATTTCAAAGTTTAAAGACTTGAGGTGTCACCAAGAAAATTGGTGACAATAGAATTCTTTTCTTTTGAGGCTCAGATTATATTACAGGCATATAAAGTAAATATGTCCTCTTTGGGGATCTGCTTGGCAGAGTACCATAGGATAAAGCCCTGGAGAAAAGAGGGGCCCCAAAAAACTGGTTGGTAATCAAGGATCACCTACTCCAAGCTCAGGAGCAATGCATCCCAACAAAGATGCCAGGCAAAAACACCCGGAGGCCTGCATGGATGAAGAAGGAGCTCCTGGATAAAGTCAAACACAAAAAGAAAACATATGAAGGGTGGAAGCAAGGGCAAGAAGCCTGGGAGGAATACAGAGGAATTGTCTGAGCAGCCAGGGATCAGGTTAGGAAAGCTAAACCCCTGAGAGAATTAAATCTGGCCAGGGACATCAAGGGAAACAAGAAAAGCTGCTGTAGGTACATCAGTGGTAAAAGGAAGACTAGGGAAAATGTGGGCCCTCTTTGGAAGGATACAGGAGGCCTGGTTACCCAGGATATGGAGAAGACTGAGGTACTCAACAATCTTTTTGCCTCAGTCTTCACCACCAGGTGCTGTAACCACGCTGCCCAAGCTGCAGAAGGCAAAGGCAGGGACTGGGAGAATGAAGAACTGCCCACTGTAGGAGAAGATCAGGTTCAATACCATCTAAGGAGCCTGAAGGTGCACAGGTCTATGGGACCTGATGAGATATACCCACGGGTCCTGAGAGAACTGGTGGATGAAGTTGCTAAAGCCACTCTCCATCGTATTTGAGAAGTTGTGGCAGCCCAGTGAAGTTCCCACTGACTGGAAAAGGGGAAAACATAACCCCCATTTTGGAGAAGGGAAAAAAGGAAGACCCAGGGGATTACAGGCCAGTCTTACCTCTGTGCCCAGTGAGATCATAGAAACTATGCTCAGGTACATGGAAATAAGGAGGTGATTGGTGACAGCCAACATGGCTTCACTAAGGGCAAATCATGCCTAACAAATTTGGTGGCCTTCTACGATGGAGTTACAATGTTGGTGGATAAGGGAAGAGCAACTGATGTTGCTCTTGTGCAAAGAATTTGACACTGTCCCACACAACACCATTGTCTCTAAATTAGAGAGGCATGGCTTTGATGAATGGACCACTCGGTGAATAAGGAATTGGCTGGATGGTCACACTCAAAGAGTTGTTGTTAACGGCTCGATGTCCAAGTGGAGATCACTGATGAGTGGCGTTCCTCAAGGGTTGAGTCCCCAGTATCATTAAAGACTGGAGGATGAACGGGTTGAGTAGCCCTGAGGAGAAGGAATGGTTTTAAACTGAAAGAGGGTAGATTTAGATTGGACGTAAGGAAGAAATTCTTTACAATGAGGGTGCTGAGACACTGGAGTGGGTTGCCAAAGAAGTTGTGGATGTCCCATCACTGGAAATGTTCAAGTTAAGGTTGAATGGGTCTTTGTGCAACCTGATCTGGTGAAAGATGTCCCTGCCCGTAGCAGGGGGCTTGGAACGAGATGATCTTTGAGGTCCCTTCCAACCCAAACCATTCTAGGATTCTATGAAGTTTGCCAACGACACCAAGCTATGTGATGCGGTCAATATACTGGAGGGAGGGGATGCTATCGAGAGGGACCTTGACAAGGTTCAGAGGTGGGCCTGTGTGAACCTCATGAAGTTCAACAAGGCCAAGTGCAAGGTCCTGTGCATGAGTCAGGACAATCCCAAGCACAGCTGCAGGTGGGGAGGAGAATGGATTGAGAGCAGCCCTGAGGAGAAGGACTTGGGAGTGTTGGTGGATGAAAAGATTGACATGAGCCATCAATGTGCGCTTGCAGCCCAGAAGGCCAACCATGTCCTGGGCTGCATCAAAAGAGGTGTGACCAGCAGGTCAAGGGAAGGGATTCTGCCCCTCTACTCCGTACAAAGCACAGCTGCAGGTGGGGAGGAGAATGGATTGAGAGCAGCCCTGAGGAGAAGGACTTGGGAGTGTTGGTGGATGAAAAGATTGACATGAGCCATCAATGTGCGCTTGCAGCCCAGAAGGCCAACCATGTCCTGGGCTGCATCAAAAGAGGTGTGACCAGCAGGTCAAGGGAAGGGATTCTGCCCCTCTACTCCGTACAAGAAGGATGTGGAGCTGTTGGAGCAAGTCCAGAGGAGGGCCAGGAAGATGATCAGAAGGCTGGAGCACCTCTCCTATGAGGACAGGCTGAGAGAGTTGGGATTGTGCAGCCTGGAGAAGAGAAGGCTCTGGGGAAACCTTACAGCAGCCTTCCAGTACCTGAAGGGGCCTACAGGAAATCTAGAGAGGGACTGTTTACAAGGGCGTGTAGTGATAGCACATGGAGTGATGGCTTTAAACTAAAAGAGGGTCGATGTAGATTATATATTAGGAAGAAATTCCTTATTGTGAGGGTGGTGAGGCACTGGAACAGGTTGCCTAGAGACGTTGTGGATGCCCCATCCCTGGAAGTGTTCAAGGCCAGGTTGGATGAGGCTTTGGGCACCCTGGTCTAGTGGAGGGTGTCCCTGCCCATGGCAGGGGGGTTGGAACTAGAAGACCTTTAAAGGTCCCTTCCAACACAAACCATTCTATGATTCTAAGTATTTTAATTTTAGTATTAGTAGCTGATAAAGTAGACTGAATTCATAGAATCATAGAATGGTTTGGGTTGGAATTGAATGTTAAAAAAATATTTCTGCTAACTCAAAAGTTTTAAATACGTCAGTTAATGGTACTTATTTCATGTCAGTATATAATGAACTTCAAAGATTATCTTAACTTCCAAAATGTTGCAGACATTTTGTTACCAATATTGGTATGGGGGAATGACGTAGGCCAGTTAAAAAGGAAAAATGTCTTCCCACCTCCCCAACTTCAGTATTTAGCCTAAAGAAATGGCACATTTATCTGGAATAGTTTATGCAATTTATTAAACACTGATTCTGGGATCAGACTTAATCAGTCCATTTCATGCATCTATAGCAAAAGTTGGATTAAACACTTGCATTAATATTTCTATTTTTTTTTACAGTAATATTAGTAAACCTTCCCCTTTCTTTTGCAGGGATGAAAGACTATCAAAAGTTTTACCATCTATAAATAATAATAAAAAATAGCGCTTTTTTTGAAATTCAAATAGTTTTACCACAAACTGAAATAATTATGGAAATCTCTGGACATTACCTTCTTTCTAGAAGGAAAAGTAGGAGACTATATAAAATACTTTTTTCCAATCTCAGTTAATGTACTTTTTCTGATTGGAAGTGTTTTGTCCTTGTTAAAGTATTTGTCTTCTCTCAAGATGCGGTAGTATTTTAGAAGTAACACTTCTGTTTAGTTCAAACTAATTTGGCCTCTTTGCAAAAATTGCTAACAGAGACTAGAGATGATTCAAGTTACATGAATGGTTTATCTGCTAGGCATTGAACTAGGACCATTAAACAGCTATCTGCTGGTTGTTAAGTATCAGTTCTGCTGTAGAGCTTTGGTGTTTCTTTATCGATCGTTCAAACCATTCAATGTGTAACAAACTTCAGATTTTTTTATTTTTTTTTTTTTTTTCTGGGAGGTGGTGCTTTTTTACCCTTTGTCTTGTCATGCATTTAATTTTGTCTATTCCTCTGTGTGTATAGTAAGTAATATCTGTGTAATATATATCAATATCACTTTTTTCATAAAGTCACTTGGAGAAAGAAATTGAAAACAAAAAGGCACAGATGACAGCATCTCAGCAACGTTTATATTCCATTGAAAATGAGATTAGGCAAAATGAAGACCATCTTCATGGTCATCGACGACACCAAAAAGATTTACAGGTAAAATAGGTACACAGTTAATTTTTAGAAACTGGTCAGTCT